AATGAGTAATAATACCGTAGAATAGTCGGGTAACATGTATTGATGCTGTTTGTACTGGTTTTGTTGTGTGAGAAGTTGGATGATGGTGGATTGTGGAGGAGGAACAGAATAGGGTTCTGTTCTGCGCAGGTTCGCTGGCTCTCGCCAGGCGAGCGAAGGCGAAGCTTCGCCAGGCGAAGCCTAGCGAATGTTGGCGAATAATTATATTTAAGTCCCAGTGGACTTCGCTGGTGGGTTCGCCAGGCGAAGTTGGATAGCGAAGGTTCGCCCAGCGAAGGTGCTGGCGAATGATGGCGAATGAAGTCAGTAGCTACTGACTTGGGCTCGCTGGGAAGTTTCGCCAGGCGAAGCCTAGCGAGTGTTCGCTGAGGGAGTTCGCCAGGCGAAGGTTCGCTGCGAGGGTTCGCCAGGCGAATGTGGGCGAGTTTGACAGCATTTTCTTTTGCTGTGTTGATCATGTGGAGATGGTTTGGTTGTTCCACATAGATGGATACCTTATGATATGAATATAGATACGATCTATTGTGATAACATGTGTTGTGGGTAGCCTTCGGGCGTGAATCCTAGAGTTGTGATATGAAGGATTAATTGTAATCGGTTAAAATACATGTGAACATAATAAGTGATTATGTGTGTATTATTTAATGAATTTGTGAATGCTTAATGTGTATACAATTATGTGATGAGTATGCATGAGAACATTGTAGATATGTGTGCATGACTTATAATTGTATAAATGGTATTGTGATGTGAATACCTTGATTGTGTGATATATGTTGTATGTACAATCATTGTGTAATTCTTGAAGTGATGAATTATGTAAATGCATGAGATTAAGATGTCGGTCTTAAGTGCATTTGTTGTGGTTGATTGTACATGCATCATTTAGTCAAGAGGCAATGTCTGTTAGTTTCGTGGAAACTAGTGGCTTGTCCCAAACCTAGAAGTGTGGGTTTGAAGGCTTAGAGGACGGGCCTTTGTGGTTATCGGTCTAGAAGTGTGGACCCGGTTTAATGTAAAAACCGAAAAAAAGATAACGGGTTATCGGTCTAGAAGTGTGGACCCGGTTTAATGTAAAAACCGAAAAAAGATAACGAGAGTCGGTACCGCATTGCATGAGTTGCATTGAGTTGTTGAGTCACATTGATATATGACATATGCATGAAGTGATGCTTATGTGTGAATGATGAGATTGTGGAAATTGTAAGTGTATACATAATGTGGGAATGCTTTGTGAATATCCATGTTTGTCTATATATATATATATATATATATATATATATATATATATATATATATATATATATATGTGTGTGTGTGTGTGTGTGTGTGTGTGGTAAATATATATGACTAAGAGAATGAAGTGTGGTGAGAAATATGAATATGTGTTGCATGATTACCTCTATATATATAATCTTATGCTTTGATTATTATGGTTATATTTCTCACCCTTCTGCTGTTTTATAATGTTCTATGAGGCATTGCAGATTAGGATGCTGGAGTCCTTTTGTGAAGATTAGTCTTCATTCTTTTGAGTCTGCTGCTCTGATATGTAACACCGGGTAGTTAGACTAGTATAGTCATTCTTTTGTGATACATTGCGATGTATCAGCTTATGTGGTTTTGTAAATCTAACTGAATATGATATATTAATTTGGATAGCTTATGTGTACGTGGATTAATATTTTGAAAACGATCAAATGATTTTATCTTCCGCTTAAATTGAAAATGTTACATATTTTATGGAGCAAGTGTTTTATTGGTAGAGTTGTGACATTCTTCTTTTATACCTTATTCTAAAACTTTTACTCTGATGAATTTGTATATGCTTAATTGTTTTATATGCATTTATTTGGGGTATAGAAGGGGGTGTTACAGGGGAGGTCGTTCTCCGATGGTGTTTTCTAGCATGTGAATTTTTTCTCCTTATTGGAAGAGCAGATAGTTAGATTTGTTGAGGGCGACGATGAGGGTCGCAGTGCAAGGGTCAACATCTTGTGGGACAATGATAGGCTCGTATGTATGGTCGGAACTTTGGACACGAGGCTTTACGTTGTCAGGAGATGCCAATTTTTCGTCCCTGTGATCAGTTTCTCTAGTTGTAGCTCCGGGAATGAGGGTTTCGCCGTAACCCAGAGTGGCGACGACAGAATCTTGGTGGACGTCAATATGGTGAGAGGCCATGACGATGAAGGTTCAGAGATAACTTCGGTCTTTTGTTCGGGAAGATAGGGAAATCTTAGTTCAAAAAATGGGGGAGCTGGTGTTCCCATAGACGGCGCCACTGATCCGGAGTGATCAGAATGGATCGTCTTAGCCTTCAATGTAGGACATCAACAGTGGTTGTAGGAGAGGAGGGGTTGTACCTACAAGGTACTCCAATGGCAAAGTAAGTGTTTGGGCTAAAGAGAGAAAACAAGTACGAGTGTTTAGGTATGAGTAAGAATGATTAGAATACCTGACCCTCTCAAGAGAGAGTGTGTTTATCAGATTCTCCCCAGCGTGGGGCCAAGGTCTCCCATGTGACACAAATATCTGGTCGGTCAATGGGGGACTACCAGGTAGAAGATCTAGCGCGTGATCTTTGACCTGGTCCAACTATCCCTGTGACTTTCGGAGGGGCAGTTGGTCGCGTGAATTGTCAAGCGCGTGAGGGGCATGTCCCCAACGACTATATTGTGCCCAACGCCTATATTATGCCCCATGATCGTATTAGGCCTGACCTTAAGCCATACTAGATTGGGCCTTACCCAACTGTGGGGCATGTGTCAGTCCAGTTCAGAACAGTTGTAAAAAGACTGACATACTTTAAATTTTCTCATGTTAGTGTATTAAATTATAAAGACCTCTACCACAAAAAATTGATTTTTTTTTGCATGAGATGAATTAAATAAGAATTTTTTAAACGTTGATTTTCCGTGAGACGAAAACAACACAACATTGACATATGATTGAATTTTGAGCTAATTTTTTACAAGAAATTATATAATAACACATAAAAATGATCTGAAAATTTTCATGAAATTTCAAATAAGTCTTGACTTAATTTTTTTTTCCGATCAAAACACATATATATGTTTTGATCGAAAAATCAAAATAAACCGAGACTTATTCGACATTCAATGAAACTTTGAAGATTCTTTATATATGTTATTATACAAGTCTCTGAAAAATAATAAGTTAAAATTCAATCATACAATAACGTTTTCTTTACTTCTGTTTTATAGAAAACCAGTTCTTAAAAAATTTATATTTAATTTATTTCAAGTAAAAAAAATTTATGAGACATATCCTTCTAATGTGATAAAATTTCTTGAAAAAAATATGAAATCTAGGTGGTAAAAATTATTCTTTAACTTAGCTAAGGATTAGCAACAAATTATCTATATTTTAGCTCTGGGTTTTGGTATGAAATTCATGATAGCGACAGATAACTCAAGATACATCACTATTAATTTAATTAATATAAATAATATAAAATAGGAACAAAATGCCTATTAATTTAATTAATATAAATAATATAAAATAGGAACAAAATGCCTATGACATCCATGTCACATTAGATTTTATTAACAAATATTATCAGAAGCATCAAAAGTGTGAATAAAAAATAAGTTTAAATAGTTTATTGATTCCTGTAATTTAACGAATTTTTAAGTTTGGTCTCTGTAATTTTTTATTTTATTTTATCTGAGTTCTTATATCTCATTTTTTGCATGTGATTTAGTTCATAAAACTAAAATCCGGAGTTTTTCTGCGAATTTTAACTTTAAAATTAAAATACAGCAAAAAGTAAAATATTAAAATTCAAACAAAAAAAATTATAAAAAATAAACTCAAAAACGCGTTACTTTATTAGAACCAAAAATGCATTTAAATTTTAAAAAATATTAAGAACAACCTTAAAAAAAATTGAAAGATTACAAATAAAATTTAAAATATTTAGGGTGCTACAAACATATTTAAGTCTTTCAATAATATCTTTGAGGATTGTTTCACACCACACATAGTATATAGATCTAACTCGAGTTATTTGTATTTTGTGCCTGACCTCTCCCATTAAAACTGTGTCTATATAGAAAGAAAAATGCTATTCCTACACCATTTCCTACACCCAATACTTACACCGTATGCACTATTCACCGTATTTATACGGTGAACAGTGTTTTTTTTATTAAAATAATATATTTTTTTAAAATATTAATTTTTTTTTAAAAAAGTTTTATTTTTAAAATTTATTTTATAACACAAATATAAGATTGCGCATTAACCAACTTCACAGTTGCATTAACCACAAAAATCTACATTATTAACCAATTATTTTACCTATAATTTATTAACCACTTTCACTACTTCATTAACCAATAAAATACACACTATTAACCATGTTCTGGGGAATTTGTTCAAGTATTTGTGAACAGTAATTGAGGTGTAGGGTGTAAAGATGGGTGTCAACATAGCAATCCTGTTCAAAGAATTACATCAAATCAAATGGTAATCTAAACGCACGCCTTCAACAATTAGTATTATTTAGAAAGATTACATAACAGGGGTTTTAAATTGATAGAATACATAGTATTATTAAAAAAAAATTGGTCTCATATGGTGAAAGGTCTGCAGTGGCTCTTACAGTAGACACCACCCAAACTCATTCGATAAGATTTGAAGGTGGAATTCAAGACACTTAAACAACCAAAAATTATAGTTATATGTTGTTGAAAAGTATCATTACAAATGACATCAGTTGAATCCCTCCAAGACATTCTAACACTTTCTTTATAACTTTTTGAGATGCCTTAGAAAAAACACACTATTTTTAAAGTTTAATATAGGTTACAATCCTATGTGAGGGATGACCTAAACAACTTTGGATTAAGAAAGGGAAAAACTTAATCAATAATACCGTTAAGTCATCTTCGAATGCAACAGAGATATAAAGTAATTCTACAAAACATATAAAGACATTTCATTATGCCTCAAGTATAATAAATAACAATAAACTAGAAAATATAGTTAGTTATCATACCTTGCTTAAATCTCTCAAAAATATCAAAATCTTCATTTGTACTCAAGGATGAAGATGTTCCTTTGAGCCAATCTTGGGTGCAAATCAGTGCTTCGACTGTTGTAGGTGTTATCGAGTTGCGATATGGATCAAGTACTCTTTCTCCTGTACTGAATGCAGCTTCAGACGCCACTGTGCTTATAGGTATAGCTAGCACATCTCTCGCAATGTTTGCAAGGATGGGATATCGGCCAAAGTTAACTTTCCACCACTCTAAAACATTTATCTCCATGTCATGCTCCAACTTCTCTCCAAGATAAATATTTAATTCATTATCTGCACTGTCACACCCTTCTGAAAGATAGAACTCAGCAGTTCCATAAGGATGACTAACACTACCAAACACTTGCAGCTCATCTGAATTACCTTGAGGAGGCATAAATCCAGCACAATATTCCTCATAAATATATTTCAAGTAGGAATCTAAGTTTGCTTTCAAGGCATCAACATCATCCTTATTGTAGTACCGCCTTACCATCCAATCAACCAATATAATCTTGCGCCTAGGTTCGAAAACTAGAGCAATCAACAACATCATATTAAGCTTCTCATGAGGTCCCCAATACTTATCCTACTTCTTCTTTATCTTTTGAGCTACTGAACATAGATGTGCACACATATCCATAATGCTCTTTCCAATACCCAGAACCTCAAACATATAAATATTGAGGAGGCATAAATTCAGCACAATATGAAGGTAGGAAAACACTTAGAAGGGGAGGTTGAATAAGGGTTTTAAAAACAAATAAGGCAATAAAAATAACATGTATTTTTATACTGGTTCGTTTGAACTCAAACTACTCTAGTCCACTCGGCCAAGGTGATTTCGCCTCTTTTAAAAGAGGATGAAGTTTTATCTGGAGAATGAGAGGGAATGGGAGTGGGAGAAGAAAGCTCTAGAGGATGGTTTGGGGAGTTATGTGGAGGGGATGTAGCATCTGATTGGTCAGAAGAGGAGTCAGAGGAGTCAGATGGAATTGGGTGAATGGTTAGGAGAGATGTGGCATGAAAGATTTCAGGTTCAGAGGGGTTGGTAACAACAGGTTGGTTTGTAGAGGGGACTTCAGTAGAATTGGTTTGCTGAGGGATATTGAATGAGGGTGTTGATGGCATAGAGGTGGTGTGAGGGTTGGAAGTTTGTGGTTGGGAGAAAGGAGAGGCAACAGAGACATGAACATGCTCAGAGGAATGTGAATGGTGCTCAGAGGTGATGTGTGGAGGGGGAAAAGGAGAAGGATCAGAAGTGATAATAGGTTCAGAAGAAATAATAGGTTCAGATGAGATGACAGGTTCAGAAGAAATAGGTTCAGATGTGAGAGGGGTTGAGATGTTGGTTCTTCTGTTACAGTTTCTAAAACAGGAGATAAAACAGTAGAGGGATTACCTGATTGCTTGGAACGCTTTGATGACTTCTTGAAAGAGCCTTCTTCAGAAGCCTTCCTCTTAAAACTCTTAGAATGTTTCTCTGAGAGACCTTGCTCTTCTTGTGTTTCTTCCTCATAATCATCTCTGGAGCAGGTTGAGAAGCACGTAGCAAGAGATCAGCTGGCATAGGAGTGCCATCTGCCATATAGGAAGCAATATAAGCAAGGAGAGCTTCCTTTGGCTCCTCTGTAGTAAAGAGTGGAAAATCTTCTACTGGTACCTGTTGCACCCCAAAATTTGCCCAACTCTTCTTTACCTAGCTTGTGTTTCATTTCATTCACATTAGCATTATCATTTGCATTTCATTGACATGTATGCAGGAGATCAAGAGGTATGATTACCAATCAAGGGCTACACAAGGCTATGAAGCTAGCTAAGAAGGTTATTCAAGTGTTCAAGGGTTGATATCTTTGTCAGAGAAGTTAAAAGATCCTCAGAAAGAGTGGTTGAAACCAAGAGTGTGTAGGTCTCCTAACTTGAAAGTTGTGGAAAGCCATCAGATGATTCTGAGGCCATGAAGATGGACTTGAGGTCTTGAGATAGCTCATGAGAAGTGTTTAATATCACTTTGAGGCCTAGACAGGTCATTGTGCAAGGATAAGAAACCTCAGCCATGATTGGTGTAATTAGGGTTTGATTGGGTCAGCCCTAGGTCAACTGAGGATTTGAACAAGGTTGAGACATAATTCAAGATTCATGTGATCATGGATTGATACATTTAGATGTTATAAGGATGATTCCAAGGTCAACTCATCATGATTGAAGAGTTTGAGAAGTTTCAAGCTAGGGTTTCTAAGGCTTGACAGTGTAAAATCCCCTAGTTTGACCCCCATCTTCAAGGCAGTTTAGCTCAAGATGTGATTGTCATCTCATCTTACCCCCAACATAAATGTTGTAGAGCATAATCTTAGCTTTAATTTGAGTGCTAGAAGCCCTTGATAGGATTTGTAGAACTCAAGTTATGACTTTGACAAGTTACAGGTCATCTGAGGTATGTGAATTTGGGGGCTTGAAAGTTGCCCAACTTGCATGAAACGTTTTCCCAAGAAGGATGATTCCTATGAACTTTTGGTCAACATTAATGTTGTTCCTTATCCTCTTAGCTTTCTAGAGAGTACTAGAAGTCCTTGATAGGATTTGTAGAACTCAAGTTATGGCTTTGACAAGTCAAGGGCATTTTGGTCATTTGGAGATTACAGGTCATTTCAAGCATAAGGCCATAACTCCTATTTCCAAGCTTCAAATGAGAAAATGTTCAACATCAAACTTGTTCAAAATGATGTTTTAAGGCTATTAAGGAGGTCATGAGATGTTGGAAGTGCTTGTAGCTCAAAGTTGCAAAAATGACCTAAAATAAGGGTATAAGTTAAATGAATCAAAGTTGGAAATTGATATTTTCAACCTACACATCCAAACCATGGCATGTAATATATCATTTTGACTCTATAAAACATTTTAAGAACATTGGTTTAGCCACATTTTTGAATTGAAATTCAATTGGTGGACTTGCTTTGAAAAGTGATTACTTACATCATAAGTAACATGTGCAAAACCTAGAATCAAGGCATGAGCAAGATCCCTTGCAAGCTAAACACTTTCAGAATGTCACTAGGGGAGAAATTGGAAGTGAATGAGGTTGGTTTCAAGCTGTTGCACCCTAAAATTTGCTCAACCTTTCTTCACTTGGTTTATGTTTCAATTGCATTAGCATTTGCATATAGAGTCATGTACATAGTCTAATCATCTGCATAGCATAGCATAGCAAGCCATCCAACAAGGGACCAAACATTGTTCTCATCTCTATGAGCCTATCAAGAGGTTATTATTCAAATTCAATCTCATTCAAGTCATCAGAAAGAATTTGAAGTCCAAGAAGTCAGTGGATCAAGCAGTGAATCTATCTCCTATCTGAGGGTATCTGAAGATCATCAAAGAAGTTGTGAGCTGTGAATTGATCATGGAGGGTATCTAGCCATCATGGAAGATTTAGAAATTCATTTGGAGAAGGAGACAAGTCATTGACATGGTCACAAGAGTTGCAGTTGAAGACAGTCAACTAGGGTTTCATCTGGGTCAACCCTGGGTCAACCCTAGGTCAATTGATTGATTGAAAGGCATTAAGGGCTATTGGAGAGATGTGGGGTTCATCATTTGACATGTAGAGAAGGATATGATGTTATGCCAAGAAGGAATCAAGAGAAATCAAGGAAAAGAGGAGTTTCTAAATTAGGGTTTCTGTGTAAAATCCCCTGATTTAGGTCAAATTTCCAAGCAATATAAGTCAAAATGCAAGCTTCAAATGGATCCTTGGGCAACATGAAACTTGTAGAGGATCTCAAGACCTTTAATTTTAGTGGTGGAAGGCATCAAGGAGATTTATAGAACTCAAGTTATGGTCCTTGCAAGTTACAGGTCATCTGAGGTATCTGAAATTTTGTCTGTGAAAGTTACTTGTCTTCCAAGCAACGTTTACCCCTCAAGGAGATTTCAAATGAATTTCTGGTCAACATAAGAGTTGTTCCTCATTGTCTTAGCTTTCTAGAATGGTATGGTATGCCTTCATATGATTTGTAGAACTCTACCTATGGTCTTGGCAAGCAAAGGGTATTTTGGTCATCTGAGAATTACAGGTCATTTCAAGCCTATGCCCAAAACTCATACAAGGAAGCTTCAAATGGAAAACTTCACAACATCAAACTTGCTCCAAATGACATTTTGAGTCTATAAAAGTGACCATGAAATATTGGAAAGGCTCATAGATCAAGGTTTCAAAATTGGTGGATTTAATGAATAAAAAATGACCTAAAAATGAGATTTTTCATAATTTGGCCAAATGGGATGAAATTATAGGTCATTTTGATTGGAAAAAATGTTTTAAGAACATTGGCAAAAGTAGAATTTTGAGTTTGGTTCAATAATTGAAAGATATGCATGGTTACTTACAAATGAAGTTACATAATCCAAATCCAAGGGAAAGTGTGCATGGGAAGGTTCTACAAACTTCTAGGGCTTTCTATTCTCATCTATATATTGAATGAAGTAACTCCATGCTATGGTTGGTGAATCATTGTGATCAAAAACACAAGTTATACACAATTCTTCCATTTTTGCAAAATCAATTCAAACTCCATCAAATCTTCACCAATTTCCATTTTTCTTGATTTGATCATCATCAACATTTTTCATAGATCAGAATTCACATCAAGATTGGTTAGAATTGAGGAGAACTCGTGCCATACAATTCCATCATCCAAGGAGCAAGATTTTGGTGATTGCAAGATTCAAGAACTAGGAGCAAGATCCATTGCATACAGAACTCATAATCAAGTTCACTGATCAATTTCCACTCATTACAAGCATCAGATCCAAGGATTTTAGCACCTGTTTTCATCATTTGCACCAGGTTAGTTTCCTCTTCGAATTTCATGATTTAGTTAGGATCATAGAGAATTGTTAGCATAGAACTGTTAGGATAGGTTAGAGGATTGATTTCACAAAGTTTGGAGAAGTTTCATGGAGGTTATCAATGGTGTACCAAAATTGTTAGAGCTTATAACATCAAGGATATGGCACTATAATCTTAGGTTTGTAGCTTAATTTGTTCAGCATGAAATGTAGATTAGGCTAGGGTAAAGATTGGCAAGGATTGGAAGATTTGATCACAGGTGAAAATGGTGGAATCAGTGTTTTGCACCTATCGGGTTCGTTTCTTGGTTGAGTTTTAGAGGATGCTATTGTTATGGTTGTGTAGAGGGGAAGAAATAGAGCAACTTTGCTCTTTGCAGATTTTGTTTTCATGGATAATTGAGGGCGTATGAGAGGATGGAAGATCTGGTCTTTAAGCTCGTGCATGGGGGCTCTAATGGCTGAAACCCTAATCAATTGGGGAAGATAAAGGAGGACCGTTAGATGCAGGCCAAGACTTTGACTGAACCCAGGATCCAACGACCACGATTTAAAATGAAAAACGGAGGGAGATTCAAAAGACTATACGCACCGTTTCATTAATAATTCTGACTGGGCTTTGTAATTGCTTGCTATTCGTACCCCCTCAAATCAGGCCCAGTGTGTTTCCAACTAAAAACCTTGCTAACTGCACCGCTTCTAGTTTTT